GCCACGGCGTGTGCCAGTGTGCTGTGCCACATGCCGGTGTGCCACGGCGTGTGCCAGTGTGCTGTGCCACATGCCGGTGTGCCACGGCGTGTGCCAGTGTGCTGTGCCACATGCCGGTGTGCCACGGTGTGTCCCGGTGTGCTGTGCCACGTACCGGTGTGCCACGGCGTGTCCCAGTGTGGTGTGCCACATGCTGGTGTGCCACGGTGTGTCCTGGTGTGCTGTGCCACGTGCTGGTGTGCCACGGTGTGTCCCAGTGTGGTGTGCCATGTGCCGGTGTGCCATGGCGTGTCCCGGTGTGCTGCAGCATGTGCCGTGCCAAGCGCCGTCCCGCCGTGGCGTGTGCCATTGTGCCCCCCGCCGTGTGCGTCGCACCACACCACGTGCAGTGCCCGGGGCTCGGGCTGTGCCTCGCCCGCGGCGTGGCCGTGCCGTGGCCCGTGCCGCGTGTGCCGCGTGTGCCGCGTGTGCCGCGTGTGCCGCGTCCTGCGCTGCCTCGCGCGTCCCGTCCTGCCCGTGCTCCGCCCGCCCCCGCTCTGGCTCTACCCCGGGGTAACGCGCCCCATCTCTGCTTCCAGGGCCGGGTGCCCCCTCTCTGGCTGTGCTCTCTCTCTCTCTCCTCCGCGCCCACCTCGCCGCTCGCCCGCCCGCCGGGTAAGTACCGGCGTCCCGGGGCCGGCCCGGCGCTCGCGGCGGCTCCGCGTCTGCAGCCTCTGTCCCTCTCGCCCTCCGACCTCTTCTCTCTGCCTCTGCCCCTCCTAAAGCCCTGCTGTCCCCACGCTGTCCCCGCCCTGTCCCTCGGTGAGCGCTGGCGGTGCAGCACCGCGGGCGAGGGTCCCACTCACCCCGTGTCCCGTGTCCCCCAGCTACGGGACCCTGCCCAGCCGCCGGGCGCTGAAGAACTCGCGCCTGGTGAGCCAGAAGGACGACGTCCACCTCTGCATCATGTGCCTCCGGGCCATCATGAACTACCAGGTACTGTCACCCCGCGGCGGGGACGCCGCTGTCGCCGCTGTCGCCGCGGCTGACGCTGTCCCTGCTCCGTCCCCGCAGTACGGCTTCAACCTGGTCATGTCCCACCCTCACGCCGTCAACGAGATCGCCCTGAGCCTCAATAACAAGAACCCGAGGTAAGGGGGGGTCAGGCAGGACGGGGGTCCCGGTGCTGGCCGGGGGTGACGGTGACGCTGTGCCCAGGATGAAGGCGCTGGTGCTGGAGCTGCTGGCGGCCGTGTGCCTGGTCAGGGGGGGCCACGAGATCATCCTCGCGGCCTTCGACAACTTCAAGGAGGTACGAGGGGAATGGGAGCGGCAGGACCAGGCTGGGATGGTGGGACTGGGGGGAGGCAGGACCAGGCTGGGATGGGGGCACCGGAATTAGGCTGGGACTGGGGAGCAGGACCCAGGGAATGGAGAAATGGGGGACCCCAAGAGAAGGCTGGGATGGGGAGCCTGGAGCACATGGGATGGGGGGATCAGGGAGGATGAGGACCGGGGGGTCTGGGGGCACCAGGACCAGACTGGGATAGGGAAACTGGAGCCCAGGAGGCAGGGAGGGAGGCCAAGCCAGGATAACCCTGTGTCCGCTGCCTGCTCAGGTGTGCAAGGAGAAGCATCGCTTCGAGCGGCTCATGGAATACTTCCGCAACGAGGACAGCAGCATCGACTTCATGGTGGGACACCCTGTCCTGGGCGAGGGGGAGGGTCTTTGTGGGGGGCCAGGGGGGGCTCCCGGTGACCCCAGGTGACCCCTGCCCGCAGGTGGCCTGTATGCAGTTCATCAACATCGTGGTGCACTCGGTGGAGGACATGAACTTCCGCGTCCACCTCCAGTACGAGTTCACCAAGCTGGGGCTGGAGGAGTTCCTGCAGGTACGGGGGGGGTGTCAGGGCTCGGGGGGGGGGGTCACCCCACAGGGCCCCCCCATCCCTGACGCCGCCCCCGTGCCCGCAGAAGTCGAGGCACACGGAGAGCGAGAAGCTGCAGGTGCAGATCCAGGCGTACCTGGACAACGTTTTCGACGTGGGGGGGCTGCTGGAGGACGCCGAGACCAAGAACGTGGCCCTGGAGAAGGTGGAGGAGCTGGAGGAACACCTGTCCCACGTATGTGAGCGCGGGGGGATGCAGGGACCTTGTGGGGTCCCGGGGGGGGTCAGTGGTGACACCTGGGGGGTCCCTGAGGGGGTGTCACAGCCGTGTCCACCCCCCCCAGCTAACGGAGAAGCTGCTGGACCTGGAGAACGAGAACATGATGCGGGTGGCGGAGCTGGAGAAGCAGCTGCTGCAGCGGGAGAAGGAGCTGGAGGTGGTCAAAGTGCGTCGGGGGCCACGGGGGGGCTGTGGGGAGCGGGGAGGGGTCCCGACCCCCCCGGCCTGACGCTCGCTGTCCCCAGGAGACCTACGAGCACACGAGCCACCAGGTGCACACGCTGCGGCGGATGATCAAGGAGAAGGACGAGGCTTTCCGGCGCCGCTACGGCTCCGAACCGCCCCCCGTGCCCGGCGCAGAGTCCCCCCCCCAGCCCGAGCCCGAGCCCCTGGAGGAGACCCTGCGGCTCCCAGTCCTGCCCCCCGTGGAGGCCGCGCCCCCTCCACCCCCCCCCCCCCCCCCCCCCCCCCCCCCCCCCCCCCCCCCCCCCCCC